TCGGACACCATTGGACATAACAATTGTTATTATTGTTGTTCATTATTTCTTTGATAAAATCGGTGTCCTAAAGAAAAACCTTATTGCCAAAAAACTATTTCTAAGATTATTATTGACGGTCTATATAAAGTTAAAGGCAAGGAAAAACTTTTCGCTATGAAAACAACATTTTCTAAATCAAAATTCATATTTATGAGAAATCATCGTTACGGCAAAATATTTGACATTAGCAGAGCGTGGTTTCGATCCACGGACCTCTGGGTTATGGGCCCAGCACGCTTCCACTGCGCCACTCTGCTTGTGGTGAATAAGCTAAATTTTTAGGCCGCGTTCAAACAAAGGCGTCAAAGATGACTGACGACCGTATTCACAAACGATGCTTGCTTAAGTGAAGCAGAAAATGGAACGCACAGCGTTGAATAGAGCTCTGTGATTGGTTCGTGTGGCACCCTGTGCGTCCACGCGCACTGTGAGACCTAAAGTAAAAAAGTAAAAGTAAAAAAGTAAAAAAGTATTTATTACTAAAAGTGTGTGTGTGTGTGTGTGTGTGTGTGTGTGTGTGTGTGTGTGTGTGTGTGTGTGTGTGTGTGTGTATGTGTGTGTGTGTGTGTCTGTGTGTGTGTGTGTTTTAGAATAGTTAGCTAGTATGACGCGTTTATGATTTCTTCTGATAGTAATGTTTGTGAATACGGGCGTGAGTTTCTGCCACTTCCCAACATCAGCCGATATGTTGGTCCGAAGTGGTGACAGAGAAAGTTGTACTGGGACATGTCATTGTATAAGTGCCCTGAAAAGGACTTACTTACTATTATAGAATTTATTTATTTATTTTTATTTTTCTTTTTATTTTACAAGGAAAACAATACAGTGTTGAAACTATGTAGACTAACATTTTAGAAAACTTATAACCATTAACATGTTTTCACATTTAGAGCCTGAGTAATGCTTGTTTATCAATAAAAAAATAGAAAAGAAGTTACCAAGCCAGAGTTACCTACTACTAATTAAATTAAAGCTTAATACAAAAAAAAGCACCTTTCAAGAATGCACATCAAACCAGTCTTTGAAGAGATTTCGTTTAACACTATTTATGCTGGAATTGAATAAATCAATATCGGAATCGCCAGCCATAAGGTTAAAGACATTATTAGAATATGAATTTAAAAACGCTAGACAACACAAAAATCAATATGTAAGTGGATTGTTACATATTTTTTTATTTAATGTTCAGATGACGCCTTTAAGTATAAATCACAAACTAACTTCTACTCCCAGCAGCGTTGCCAGACGTCCCGATTTTGGCGGGACGTCCCGATTTTTTGATCAAATTTAAATGTCCCGCGCGGGACAGGCTCGGTCCCGCTTTTCGGAGAGAGACACTTCACTTCACCAGACTATTGTTTGAAACGCCATATTATTCTAAAGAATAAAACTTTTTTAATTTTTTTCTTTTTTTATTCTAAAGACGAATTTAACGATACAGTAAATCTGATTTTAAATATAATTTTTTTGTTAAAATACATTTTCTATGGCTACTTTTGCTATCTATTGTCACGTAAACGTAATTTTAAGTCAAATAAAAAGAGAAATATTTGAAAACCTTTGATTATATACGTTTTTTTTACTATGTCCCGCTTTTGACGGAAGAATCCCGCTATTTTCACTCAAAAAGTACCAAAGTCCCGACTTGGCGAAAAAAAAAACTGGCAACGCTGACTCCCAGCAGGGTCAGCAGTATTTGAACCCGCAACGCAGCTTGAGATCTTTTACCTTCAAAGTACTTTCACTTGCTTTTTGCGTCAAAGCCAAATTCTCCAATTCTCTCTCGAAGGTTTGGTATTGATATTGAAAATAACATTGTATTTATTAATATTAAAAATCGCTCAGCAACAGATGCCAATAAATACATGAAAGGAGCCAATAAAATAGTTATTTCTTTTGTATTACACAAAAACATATTCCTGCGATATTTGGGATATGAACATACAGAGATACAAATTTGATTCCATTGTGTTATTCATGAAGTACTCATATCCATCCTGCAATTAAGTCCGATTCTTGAAACGCACGAAACATTTTTGACATTCGGTAAAAGGTTTCGCTACTTACCTGTTCGAGTTTTGATATTGAAAGCAATATTAGCATAGGAAATTCTACGAAAATCTTTTGTTTGTTCCGTTCCACGTCTGCTTGATCATACACAATTGATACGCTTACGATGAGTTGCTGTGTTTGTGAGAAATTCTTAGAAAACGAAATCACTCAATATTTTCATATGATTCAAGGATAAGACTCTGTACACTTAGTATCAATGTTTCGATTGCAAGTCAGAATCTTTCTGAATATCACAATATTGTAGACATATGAAACAGATGTTGTATGAATGAGCTTCATTTTAGTCCAATGCATGCTATGAAACGATGACCAGATTATTGTATTGCTGGAAAGGTTATTTTTATCTTGTGAAAATATACCTTTTGAAGCAGCATATTCATGATTAAAATTCTTTTGAAAAGGTAAAACTTCATTAAAATTACTTCTGAATAAAATAACTCTTTCTCAAAAAAGTTAAATGATTTTATGTAGAGTTCGTCCTGTTATTACTTCGACTTGGTAAATAAATGAACATTTTTATTTAAGCCTTTAAAAAAATGAAGACGTATTCTTCTTTGTTGAGGTTTATTTAAATACGGGAATATTCCCACCTCTCTTCCCCACCGCTGCAATTCCTGAGTAGCCAGTTTATCCAAATGGACTAACTTCTCATAATAATATATTTTGTATTATGTGCCATGATGTGATACCTAATGTTCTCACAGTCTCGGAAAAATATGTCTTTTCCAACCCAGAATATGTAAGAAGTATGATTTTGTAGAAATCCTGTTGCTCGTACCAAAATAAATGTTATTCCAAAGGATGGCTGGTAAATAGCCGACCTATTTACAAGCCTGAAGTTTTTGTCCCATATCCTATTTTATTCATTTTCATCTCGCTTCTAGCTTCGTACAGTTTTCAACAGAGCACCATCTTATAATGAGCTCTATGTCCAACATCATTAGGTGGGTTTAGGATGTTATGCTACTGAAAATTCGATGTGGTTATTAGGTGTAGAAGGTCCGCTAATGGACTTGCCGCGTAGAGATTATGTGCCCCTGGTGAAAAACACGGCACAAACAGAAACTAAAGAATGCATTTACACCGAAGTGTAACAGAGTTTTAAACCTGTTACATGCGAAGTAATTAACGTCAAAGTCTGGAGAAATTTCTCAGAAAAAAATACCTTAAATAACACGCTACGCAGAATCAGAATCAATTTGTATGTTATAATAATGTGCTGTGCATCAGTCAGAACAAAACCTGATAAGTGCTAAAGATGATACTTTTACCTACCTAAGGCTGAGTTGCACCACCTAACTTTGACCGTAACTATAACGATAACTGGCGTATTTGTGTATGGAATTTGACAGATTTTTGACGTTTGATAAAGTCAAAGTAAGATGGTGCAACCCAGCCTTAGTCCTATATTTCTATGACTTATGTAGAGAGGAAGGATCCTATCCTAGGATGGATGTAAAATAATTTGATTTTCTTATACCTATTGAACGAACATACTCGTACATGGATTAATTTATCACGATTGTGTCCATATTTTTATCGATGAAATAATCTGTTTCAATTCAATCCCAGCCATAAACGAAGCTATAAAATCCCGTAACGATACGAAAAACTGTTAAGCCAGCTTATAAAGATGTATGGGAGTGATTTTTCCGAGCTAAAATTGCGTTCTATGCAATTTCGTTGCTTGTATTAGTTTGATAAACGTTGATAGATTAGTAATACCGTCAGTAATAAATTGTTACCTACATAATATGGACACTAATCTTATCATGAAAGGGCATTGAACTCGATTACTATTAAATCGACTCAAATTGTAATTTTCTTGTTATTTAGGAAAAATTATATATAAGATCAGCAAAATCCCAAAATGTTTTCATTTTTCATGTTTTAATCTGTCCACTACACTATATTGTAAAGTGAAAAATGAAAAAGAATCAAGAACCTAAAATCTTAAATTAACTGAATGCTTTCAGTGCCTACAAAATTATATATGTATGTATGCATGTCACAGTCATAAAATATGGAAATCTTCTTGAAAATATTAAGCAGAGGGCTAGTGCATGAAAGTTTATACGATAATTGCTAAAATTCTTTCACATGAGCATGATTCGGCGTTACTTAACACAAGCAGAGTGGCGCAGTGGAAGCGTGCTGGGCCCATAACCCAGAGGTCCGTGGATCGAAACCACGCTCTGCTATGATCTTTTTTATTTCAGTAAACTTTGACTATATTTTTCTTATTAGTCTTTATCTCTTTTAACTCAAAAAACAGACCTCAAAGTCTTGTACTTTGAAATCATGATAAAATACAAAGTTCCTGCTCACAAAATCACTTTCAGAAATTGGTGATTAAAATTTAATAAGTTCCTAATAAAGTTACACACAGACGCGGTGGCGTCGCGTCGGTGTAAAGGCAGCCATATTTAATTTTCAAACTAAAATGTTAAGTTGTATTACACTAATGCACTTCAGAGAGTTAGTTTTCATTGCTTTATAATGAAGTTCTTGATGTTTAAGCTTACCCTCGTGTTTATTACTTTCAGTAACTTACCTATTTTGATCGGCAAATCATAAATAGCAGTATCAAAATCTTTACTACTTTTCATTGAAGTAATATTAGTACGTAGTACATTATAACTCAATGCTACTTTTGGGTAAAAATCAAAATACAAAAAGAGGAACATTTAGTAATAAATATTGATAACTATTATATTAGCTATTAGCAGATTAGATCTTTAATATTTATTGGTGATTTTTAACATTAAAATTATTTGTACAAAAAGATTAGTCGTATATTTTACTGAATTCAAAGAGACTAATGATGAAGCACTAATAAGTGTTATTTTAGTTGGAACTCTTTTGAAACTTGATACGTTTGTTTATTACAGCACGGTTCTAAGAATAGGCGCTTTATTTTCAAAAGCTCTGCCTTCGCTGGCGAAATTTAGAGCTTTTTCTATTTGCCATTCCCTCAGAGTTTTCACTTGCGTTCCAGGTACCACATTAGTGTCGACATATTTTGCTTTATACAGTTCGCTTCGGAATATCTTCAGCTGCTCTTTTATATAGTTTACTGGTACTTTTGAAATTGCTAATAGTCGTGGACTGTACTTGCCTCGGTCTGGAATGTTTTTTGCTTCGTACAGTTCGTAAATTAGGTATTTGTCGTGAGGATTTGGCAGTTTTAGGAAGACTGCGTAGTCGTTGCCGACGTGAAGGAACCCTCGGAGTTTGTGGTTGGATTTGAAGGCGTCTAGGTATTGGAATAGCTTGTGGAGACGAACGGCGTTGATCGGGATGAAGATTGATGACAGCAGAATGATGAACTGGCTCTGGAACAACGTTGGTAAAGTCTTAATCTCTAAGACTGGGTTGCACCATTTTACTTTAACTTTGACAAACGTCAAAAATCTGTCAAACTCCATACAAAATGCACCGGATATCGTCATAGTTACCGTTAAAGTTAGGTGGTGCAACTAAGCCTAAAACATTAACTTATAAGCGCAAAACTGGGAAACAATTGCAAACTTCTGAATAACTGATGGATACAATAAAATAAAATTATTATTTCCAACAAACTCCCTACTCGTAGTAATTATGTTTGATTTTGGGAATGTGCTGAGTATTATCAATAAAATTTTAAAACCCGAATTGTGGGATTCCAAAACAATTGCATTTTCAATCAAAAACGGGACCAGCTGGCCACTTGTAAATATTTCATGAATTTTGTGAACACTCATTGTGTCCCCAATAAATTTTACATTCCAATGAAAGATTAACTAGTACAATAATATTTCATCTGAATAACCATAGACAACTTTGTCCATAAACTCACCTCGATAGGTGAATACGGAAAGTGTGTAAAGCCTGGACTATAAACTGAGTCTTAACTCTATTACTTGATCTTTGCGTAGGTACATAAAATATTACATTATATACCATATCTGAAAAGTTTGTTTTCCCTTTGCTTAATGTTATCTTTCAGCTATAAGACGTCCGTAGACGGACGTAACATAGTCCTCAATGATTTCCATATCTCAAACAAAGGTTAAACAAAGATTTTCAGGTTAGGTTTTGGAATTTTTCATTGTAATTATTGTCATTGAATATCCAGATCATCTTTCGTAAGAAGCAAAAAAAAGAAGCGTCTATCTCACAAAGTTGCCTACGGATATAACATACCATGTCCATTTTGTGTAAGTCTAAATTTTAGCGTTGCGTATGAAAAATATCAGCCAATATGAAACGACCTTTCAATACTGAAAATTTAACTACGAGAGCGAAATAAAAACCGCGCATATTTTATGGGCTCCTAAAATTTATTCGTTTCAATATTTTATTTCGGCGGCGCATTCAATTCGCGATTCTAGCATTGACATAATATTTAAAATTCCATACATTATGTGAGTTTGGAGTTGGAGGATTAATTTCGAAGCTTGTCGGTTCATTCATCATTGTCTTTGAGTCTTATTAGAAATAGATTAGACTTTGCGCGAAGTGTATGCGATTTTTAATTTTGATACTTTTGACACAAGTTGCGTTGTTTTTTGTTGAACTTTGGCAACACTAATATTTGGAAGTTTCTGTTAAAAAGGGTAGTTAAACTAGTAGTTAACTTGATCATTAGTATTGATATTTGTCACCGTAAAATTATGAATTCTGTCACATTAGAATCTGACGTAGAGAGATTACAATCTAACCTAACGTAACGTTGGGAGATGAATATGTCAACGTGAGCTTACAATTTCACGCCCAAGGAAAAATTGGCACCTTTTAATTATTACGAGTAGGTACCACTTTCAAATTCGTAGCTCTCAAAGATTTCCAAGGTATTGTCCAGATTAAAGCATTGTTTTCATTCGCAAAAACAAAAGAAAAACACCCGAAGCCTCTCTAGCCAACAAAAGGCGAATTCTAAACGTTTTATTGCTTTTGTGTCAAAAAGAAATTCGATAATAAACAGGTTGAATGTCAGTAAAACGATACGGTTCGTTTAGATCTTGGTGTTGGAATACGTTTTGTTGCTTCCAAAGGTTTTGATATTGAAGTAAAAGATTAATTGAAATCTACAAACAATAGGTACGCCTCTTTCTTTAATTTTAAAGATTATTAGTAATTTGTATTGCACTAATAGTCCCGCTAGCCCCTTGTGTTAAGCTAAATATTTACGTGTTACGAGTGGGCTCATCATAATAGTCAAGCGGCGCCAGGACTCGAACCCGAGTTCCTCGGATCTCGAGTCGGCCAGTCCGACCCCTTTACCGTTCGGCTATCGTGGCTTCATTAAACTTCATCTTTGTGATTAAACTATGTACTAACGTTGTCGTCGTCTTGATCCTGAGTTTATCTTAGGGCCCTTCCCAATGGCATCCTGTATTACTGGATCCCGCAAAACTGACTGTCATGTGAACACACTTGTGTGTTTGTGGATTCCAATTTCGAACAGTTTGGTTTTTTGCGGGACAGCAAACGGGATGTTCTTAGGAATGTTAGTATTATAACACGTATACTACTAAACGGGATCCTGCAAAAAACCGTGGGAAAGAGTCTTTAGTTAAGACACACTAGTCACTACCAAGTGGTTAGATAGATTTCAAAGTTAAAGTGCTCAATTCATTTTCAATTTATTGAGATTAATTTTCAGGTTTCTCGCACTATCGCGTTTACTGAATCAATATCTACTCAACTGAGTGATCTTTATATTTGCTTAGTTCTTTGGCTTCAATAATTGTACTTAGTTACTGCATGTTTAATTACGAGAGAGAATTTCTGTTAAACTAACTATATTAAATGAGTACTAACTTAACTTTACGACTTCGTAGCACCAAGTGATGCTTATTATGCCCTCACATGCATTTTGCACAGTGGTGCAGCATCCATCTCACGGGAAACTTTAAGTTACGCAAAGTTCAAACCTCTCTGCAAACAAGGATATTTATTCCTGTCTGCGCGTTTAGACACACCAATTTTACATTGCCAAGAAAATTTATATCATAGATCACAAGCTGTTCTTGAAATACCAACGTATTACTGATGGTACATACTATGAAATTATACTTGAGTACTCTTAAGATGAGAATCAAGCCTACAATTATATTGAAAATGATTGCATGCTAGGTACTATTGAATTTTATTTACATTTTAGACACAATAAGCATTTCAGATCGGTATTGTATTTAACCGCCTCTGTGGTCTTGTGGTAAGACCACCTGCTTCAGACGCAGAGGTCCCGGGTTCCCTGTGGGGGCAGATTTTTCTGTTCGGTTTGGTTGGTGGTAGGGCTTGTTCTAAGTCCGCCTGGCTAGCTACCACCATCTTACCTAAGTCTGTCGCCATAACAACAATGTTAACAGCATTTTTGTGTTCCGGCAGTTAGAGGTAAGATAGCCAGTTCCTCCGTGGTTGAGGATTCCGGGTGAAGCTCGCTTCCACCTTCGGCCTGTTCGTCCCTTACCATCAGGTGAGATACAGGCCAAGAGCTTCCTAGTTGTGGATAAAAAAAAAAGAGGCGTACAGTGAAAAAGAAATGTAGGTAGTAAAATGAGACATCAGAAATATTATTAATAATCGAGGCGTAAAACAGAATGAAAATCTGAAAATCAGTTCCGCATTTTGTTTATGGTCTTGTTTCTGCTTGTTTGTGCATGTTTTTATTTTGTTTTTTAACAATTTGCTGATTTTATTTTAACGAAAAGACCAAGAGCTTTAAAATACAGCTAATGAAAATGCGAACCAATAATACTGAGAATGGAGATGAAAGAACTGCAGGATGATTATGCTTTCTTTGATAGAACAATTCGATTAAATCATTTAAACCATTAGTTTTTCTGAAGGTTTTAATAAAGAGGAATTTCAATCAGTGAAATTGGTGATCACGTTTTTCTTGTTCTGATGCTGAAAACATTAAGCTGCCAAGAGAATATTTCATGAATATGATTTCAATTTTGTCTTTAAAACTGCATTCAATTTCATTGTGTACGCACAGAATCTTGCCTATTTATTTTTTGGTTGTCTTAGGCTGAGTTGCATCACCTAACTTTGACCGTATTGTGCCGTAACTTTGATGATAACCGGTGTTTTTTGGATGGAGTTTGAGAGATTTTTGACGTTAGTCAAAGTTAATGTAAGATGGTGCAACCCAGCCTTAATATGACGCTTTTACCGATGAGTCAACTTTGACTCTGCGAGTATTGTGTATTAGTATATCGTAACTCATTATAGTACGTTTTTAACATAAAACTATGTACACTTTTATGTAAAATCTATTGAAATATGCTACAGCCACCTGCCACCGCATAATTCGAACGCAATGTGCTCGTAAAAGCACACAAGTGCGTGTTTTTCAAAAGAACATGAATCGAAGTTTTCAGTTTTACAGATGATATCGACGGTCGGAAAGGGGACTGAAAAAGCATCTATGCCTTTCATTCACGCCTACGGGTGTGTGTGTGCAATAAAACATTCGGTGCGTGTGATCGATTACTTTAATTGAGAGAACATTTTGAAAGGAAAACACTTGCCGGTCGTGGAATATGTTCTTCTTTTGTTTTTGTAAAACATAAAGTTTGCATGAACATTGAACATGACGTTTAATTGAGAGAACATTTCAAAAGAAAACACTTGACGGTCGCGTAATAATATGTTACTTCTTTTGTTTTTCGTAGAACATTAATTTAACGTTTTAAACACATAGTTATTTCATCTGTGTGGTGCTTTATATTTGTTTGTGAAGCTTTTGCTATACGATATTCAAAGGAGTGTTTTATTTTTCGAACATAACGTACCTATATTTTATTTAACATATTTATTAGATTCGACTTGATTGTGAAAGTTAAATAGGGTGCCTATATTTTGACGAAAATAGAAGCGAACACAATTTAAACTATTTCGTCTGATGTTTGCACTTACTAACAAAACACTGAATTAACCTTTAAGGTGTTGTAATATTTATTTAAACATTCTTATAATTTTTTCAAAGTATTTACTTTATTCCTTATTTCCTCGTAAAATACATTCGGTGTCAACGAAAAACCGTATGAGTGATTCGAATCAGTTAGAAAACGGGCCGAGTCGTAAACCAGAGGTTGGTAGGTCGAAGATACTGCTTATCAATTTCCACTCGGCCAGCCAGCCCCGCGATATCCGATGGACTCGCCGCTGATTTCTTCACGATTGATGTCTTTTCCAGCAGCAAGCCTTCTGATTTATGTGGGTGAACGTCAGTTTTGATGGGGATCGTTTTTAACACTATTTTTAGTTGTAAATATATTATTATCTTCATTGCATGTATAAGTTGATTGCAGAGAGTTGATAAGAGGTCTGGCAAATACGACGCTGTGTGAATAATTCAAAATGTAAATTGCCAATAGTAGAGGGTCAATTAGATTTAAAAATAATCTATTTTACGGGAAATTACTTAGTCGCACTTACGGTGCCAGCGAATCGAGACACGTTAGAAATCTATTGTTACTAGTGCGGTCACTTGCGATCGCTTAGGGTTCCACAGATTAAAAAGCTAAACTTCTGTTCTTCAATTCTGCAAGTGATCATCATGTTTTTATCCACTCTTAACACGTATTATAATCATACTAGCGGCCTCCCGCGACTTCGTACGCGTGGATCCCGTTTTACCCCCTTAGGGGTGGAGTTTCGTAGGTAAAATCCTTTCTTAGCGGATGCCTACGTCATAACATCTACCTGCATGCCAAATTTCAGCCCAATCCGTCCAGTGGTTTGGGATGTGCGTTGATAGATCACTATTTCAGTCAGTCAGTCAGTCAGTCAGTCACCTTTGAGTTATATGTATATGTCACCGTAATATTGTGAATTCCATCAGATTATAATCTAACGTTGTTAAATTACAATCTAACCTAACCTAACCCATTGTTAGTTTACAATCTCACGCGGTATATTGTAAATTGACGGAGTTCACAATTTCGCGTTGAAATATATATTTAGATAAGTATCACGAAATAATGTCACTATAAAATATTAACAACATTATGATTACATAAGTAAAACCAATGAACACGTCCATAGCAAAATTGTTACCCCTATTCTACATTCACTGTGCACCTAAATGGTTAATAGCACCCATGACTTACGTTCAACTGTGAAATGGATCCGTTACCGTATAATTGATTAACTTACTTAATTAAAAACTCAAACAGTGCTGAATTTTAAACGTGTGT